TGGCTTCAGCCCCTCTCCGAAAATAAACTCTCCCCTCGATCTCAAGAATGCATTTTCTTGGGATATTCATCCTCTCACAAAGGATATCGTTGTTTCAATTCTCAAACCAATAGTATCTATGTCTCTCGGCATGTTGTCTTTTATGAACATGTCTTTCCATTTACTCCCACTACCACACAGTCTTCTGATTCTTTACCCAACATACCGTCCAATCCCTTTCTCTTGACCCCTACTTCTCTTCCATCTACAGCATCCACAACTCCTATAAATTCTTCTTCGACAATCGAACCTGTGTTACCTGTTACTCATCATGACATTCCTAATTCTTCTGTACTGTCTTCACCGAGTTCACAATCTACTTCCACCTCTTCCACACCACACAATAATCCGTTATCTTCTCCACCAAAACCTGCTCCTTCTATTCATCCTATGCAGACTCGCTTACAGACTGGCCATCAAAAGCCCAAGATTATTTTTGACTTGCTTACGGTTCCACAGCCAACTCCCGTTCCTACTACTTATACCCAGGCTCTTCAACATCCATCTTGGCGTTCCGCTATGTCTGCGGAATTCATGGCGCTTCAGCAGCAAGGTACATGGAGTTTAATACCACCTCCCCCGAATAAGATCATACTTGGATGCAAATGGGTTTTCAAATTGAAAACAACGTCTGATGGTCAAATTGATCGCTATAAGGCTCGGTTAGTTGCACAAGGCTTTAATCAAGAGCATGGGATTAATTTTACAGAGACTTTTAGTCCGGTGGCCAAATTACCCACAATTCGGGTATTACTTTTACTAGCTCTTCATCGCAAATGGACTACTCTACAGTTTGATATTTCAAATGCATTTCTTCATGGTGATCTTCATGATGAGGTTTATATGAAACAACCTCCCGGTTTTCTTGATTCTCAACACCCTCATTATGTTTGCAAATTGCATAAGGCTATCTATGGTCTTCGTCAAGCTCCCCGGCAATGGTTTAATAAGCTTACTCAGTCCTTGCTTAATTTTGGTTTTCTTTTCAGTAAAGCGGATCCCTCCGACAGCTCCGCAGCGACGACCCCGCCCCCGCTGCGACCGCTCCGCTCGACCAAGCCTGCCCCGCGCGACCACTCAACCCAGTTTCCCGGGTCGTGTCGGGTCAACCCGGCAACCCGCCGGGTCGGGTCCGGGTTGGCATTTCCGACCCGTTTACCTAACCGGGTCGGGTTAGGGTCGACCCGTTTGAACCCGGATCAGTTTCAGGTTCGACCCGAACACGACCCGTGAGCCGAAATTGACACCCCTAATTAGATCCTTTGCTCTGATGTTTCAAACCAGCGTAATATATTCATTTTTTACTATAATTTTTTGAATAATTTAATTGATTGACTGATTCATCATTTCTGTCTTTCCTACATAATATTCACTGTTTACTTTTTCTACTGAGCAAAGGAAACCTTGTGCCCACTCCTCCCCCATTGCCTTGTGATTGATTAATTGCTATCGATCCAAGAAAAGAGAGTAGTGGTCAGAGTACTCAATGGAGGATCAAGGTGGACCTTCTTAATATTCTTCTTCTATTAGGACTTCTATTGATTCTACATGATCTTTCGACTTTGCAGAGATCTTTAATTTTTGTTTAAACTATAGCGCTTTGGCGCTGTTCTTGGTAGCACTGTAGTGCTAAGATTAAGAGCAAAGAAATGCCAGAAACTACCGCCGCCGCGACATTGGAGTATTTGTTTTATAGTAATTTTGAATTAAACATAGGGCACTACGGTGTTGGATCGGAGCGTTGCTGCATTAGGCTACTAACATTGTTTTTATATAATATTTTATTTTAAATGCTAAGCACTAAAGCAATCCCCCAACGCCTCTGCCACCAAAATTTTGGTGGCTTTCCAGGGAAGAAGTGAGGGAAAGGGAGGGAGGGAAGAGAGAGAAAGTGAGTTTTGGTGATTTTCATATGTGGGTTTTGGTGATTTTCGTCTGTCACTTCTGCTATAAAAAATCTTCTGATTATTATAACCTGAATCTCACTTTGATTTTCAATAATTTTGAGTTTGATGAATTTAATAAATCCTAAATCGATAAAAATATATTCTCCTTATTTTTGCACTTTTATAATATAACTTTTCGTATATAATGAATATGAATTTCATGTATATTTTGATTGTAATATTATAAATTTCACCTAGTAAAGTGGAAGCTATAATTTTTTGAAGTAAATGCATGGTATATAAATTTGATAGATTTTTCTTGTAATTTATAAATTAATGCATTTCAGACATGATTATTACTTATATTACATAGAAAAATATAACATTTAAATGTAAGCAAAGAAGCCTGACTATTGACACTATAATTAATATGATTTGACTCTTAACATATAATATCATATGTAGAAGGGTGGGCTCATGGATTTTTTTTTTTTAAATAACATGTTTGGTGGTTTAATTATAGTTGTAGCCTGTAATCGATTAACCAAATTACTCTGATGGGTAGACGACTCTTAAATGATTGTTGAAAGCCACCTATGAATTGACTTAAAATAATAAAAAATAATGATAATTGGGCTTAAATTAAGACGGATTCCCAATTGGATGATAATTTTGGTGAAAGAATGAAACATCGCATTAAAATTGGATGTTCTGCCTTACTCTTTATAATTATATTTATGATTGTATTTATAGGATAGTGCATAGAACTAATTGATAGATAGTTTGATAGTATGCTAATAGGCAGTTATACTTGACATGATGATTGATAGAAGCATATAATTAAACTATCAGCATGAATATAATTAATAAATAATTGATGTTTGTTTCATTGCAACACCATTTTATAGGCTTTTTATTGATTTTCTTATAGATTAATATATGCCATTCTCTTAGTGGGATACTCTTGTTTTAGTAATCATATTGATTTATACTGATTAGTGTGGCGGGCTAGAATATATGCGGTGATAGAGTTAAAATACTGCATCTTAGTGTTGTACGAATATCCAGCTCACATATAGAGAACACAAGATATTTTTATGTGGAAACCCTTAGAAAGGGGAAAAACCACGGGGCCTGGCCTAGTCTAAAATGATTCCACTAGTGTTGGGTAGATTAATATGGGCTGACTCCTCCCTAATGGCGATCAGATTACAAATGCAAACCGTTTGGTTGAAATCTAGTGACAAACATGGATCAATTAAAGTACAACATCGCTTGGTGGAATGGCAAAAGTCCAATGCTACTTATAAATTATGGTGTTAGTTTGTAACATGGCATTTGTTTGGCATAACTTCAGCATCGGGCGGTGGTTCGGTGGAAGTTCGGCATCAGATGGTGGTTTGGCAAAACTCCGAGCGTCAAGTGATGGTTTGAAAAAATTCTATGCCTCAAGTTGTGGTCTGGTAGAACTCTGGGCGTTAGGTGGTGGTCTGACGAAACTCTGGGCCTGAAGTGGTGGGGTCTATTTATAGATTTCCTAGAGTGGCATGGCCTATAAATAGGAGGAATATAGAGGGTAAATGGGGAGTGATTTGGATGAACATCCGATTTTGAATCTCTTGATCATGGACCGTTCGCCAAACATTTCAAGGTCTTAATGATGTCAGAATTCCATGATCTTAGACTCGTTGTATTCGTCTCGTCGATTCGCTTGATTCGATTATAAGCATGTCATGTTTGGTAACCGTTTGGTAATTTAAAGTGTGGTTTGAACTCTCCAACATTGCTTCAGGCCCTCGATTCAGATCCATTTGGGCTCGGATTGAGTCAAATTTGGTGTCGTTGTGTTTGTATTTTTGAGACATTTAGTTCGACTGTAAGTTTGCTATAAGCAGAGTTTGGATGGCCCCAATTTTAGTTTCGGAAGTGTCCCACTTGATTTTTCCTTGAGATTCGTGCCTGATTAAGATAAATTTTTGAGGATGTATCAATTAGCATTAGAGTATATATATTGATTATTTTGCCTTGCTTTAAAGGCAAATGGTGAGTTTTAGATACTTGTTAGGTTTTGTAAACTTATTATGCGATTTTTACATGATTTTAGGTAAATGTAAGGAGCCTGCAAATTGAGGCTTAACGGTAATAATGTTTCGATTTTATTTTATGTATATTTTTTTTGCAGCTATGAATTTTGTGATGACTATCCTACATATTATTTTAGATTATAACTGTAGAATAAAAATATTGATTATAACAATATAATTATGTTTTCTTGATGTTTACTTATTTTTTGATACAATTAATAAGATATGGATGTCATATTGATCTAGTTGTAAATGAATGATTATTGGTTGTTAACTGAAAGAAAATGAATATAATAAGTTGAAAAGATAATAAAGAAAAAAAAAATTCCACTTTAGATCTTAGGGCATGACACTGTGAGTCTATGACCCCCTCTTTGAGGAGGCACTCATTCTCTCAATATTACTAGGCAATTTAGTTGTTAGAGAAAGTTGTCCTGCATCCCTAAGAATTCTCTATCTATCAATATGTGTCGATTTCAAGTACATGTACCATCTTCTTGAAAGTTGTCTGAACTTTTCCTAGGAGTATGACTGAGTTATTTCAGTGCCATAACACCTAGTACTCGGACATTGGTCATTTCCTCTACTCCTTACCCTGAAAAGCAAGGTCACTTTGTGTTCTTGAGGCACCGAAGAAGGGCAAGGGCTATTCAATTATCATCGAGAAGAAGACTTGCACCTCATTCATAATAGCCACTGCCTTACTTCCTTGCTTGGAAAGACAACAAGAACAAGGCTAATATTCATCAAAGTCATTGGGTATCAATCTGTCATGATCAAATTATTATAAATTTGACTAAAGTGCCAAATAAGGGGAGTATTATTATGAATTTTGATATTGATATGTCAATTTAAAGAATAAAATAAGAGGATGATAATCTTATAAATAATTAAAATTTAAATATTTCATATAATTGCCCCATATTTTAAAGAGGAGCAGGCGATCTCCCAAGTTTATCATCCACAGGGAAACAGAAGGGCTGAAAATGAAACACGCGCATGCTTACTGAGAGAGGACTGAATAAGAGATCAGCGAGGACCAGAGAAGAGAAAGAAGAAGCTCAGAATTTAACATGTCTTCTCCTTGTCATGTCTTCAAGACTGGCAAGCACACAGTGAAGCTCATCAGCGTCCAACAGGAAGACAGCCAGGGCTCTGCATCTTCACCTCCACCGAAGCCCTTGCTGGTTTCAGCGCCTTGCGAGGAAGGGGAGTTTCCTGTTTTGGTTTTCCTTCATGGATTCCTTCTCTATAATTCCTTCTACACTCAGCTTCTTCAACACATCTCCTCTCATGGCTTTATTGTGGTCGCCCCTCAGGTTCTTTTTAGTTATCCCTTGCAAGATTTTTATTTTTTATTTTCGACTCTGAAACTTCATATCTTGCATGTTCGGAGTTCCAATTTTATGTGTGTATTGACATTTAGAAAATAATTTCTTATTTAATTGCTTACTTTTCGGTTAATTCTCAGGTTTTCCATAACTTACAAAATCTTAAAAAAAATAATTAGGTGAATGAAGACTACTTTATTTTAGTGTCAGACATCTCTAAAAGCAAGAGTGGTAGAGTACTGAAGCCTTGGAATGAGAATATTAGTGGTGAATTATATCTAAACCTTAATTTCAGGTAAAACAAAGAAGGGAACAAAGAAGTAATGGGGAAAGAGGGATTTTACAGTTTGAGAATTTTTTATTCTTTTTTGGGACCAGAGTATCCACCCGCTGCCACTCTGAAAGGGCATTTGGCGGCGTGACTAATCGTCGGCTGACCTAGAAGAGGCATCTATCCCAAGCGCCCTTTCGGGTGAGCAGGTGGATATCCGTTCCAAAAAAAAAAGAGAGAAAAATCAGGAGGAGAGAGATAGAGATGGAGAGAGTGGGAGCAGGGTATGAGGAATTGGAGGATCAATTAATGGGTCGGTTCTAGTTCAATCTAAAAACAAACAACCTGAATAAAGTTAATTTGAATCAATCCATTTATAGAACATGTTGAAATCCTGATTTGAACCTGACTTGACTAAATTAGAGCTTGACATAATCCAATAGATAAGCATTTGAGTCATATGGTGTTAATGTACACAATGACTTAGTTTGTAAATGCCAACTCAAAAATTAACAAAAAAAGTACTGCTATTAATGTCCTTTTAGTGGAGAAAAATACTAAAATGGAAGAGCCCACTCATCAAATGGGTTATGTTGATGCTGAATTCAAATTAGTTTGTGAATTATATCTAAACCTTAATTTCAGATAAAACAAAGAAGTAACGGGGAAAGAGGGATTTTAGAGTTATAAGCCTTGAGATGTCATTAAATGAGCTTAAGTATAGAAAATTATTTGTCCTGAGATCTTTGGATTGAAGCTCGAGTAATATACGATTGGTTCCATGTAAGACTACATAAATAAGAAAGATTACAATAATTGTATTGTCTATTCTATATATGATTGTCCAGTATTTCCAAAGATCCACCTGCACTTCTTGGCAAGATGTGTTGTTTTGAGATTTCAATCATTACATATATTGTATGGGTACCTTTTGCATCTTTTGAGATGGAATTACATAATATGCAAAATTATCAAAAGTAAAAGATGTTCGATGTTGTTGAGAAGAACGACAACCAGATACATTAAAAGTTCTGCTCATTCACCAATACTTTTAGTAGACTGTGCAAGTTTTTTAATGTAAACTACTTCCTCCTTAACAGCTAATATCACCTTGACAATGTGCTAAAGTCCTTATACCATGAGGTTCAACCCCTAAGCAGAACATCCTATTGTTATTCTCAAGATTTCTCTTTAAAAATTTGGCTTTACCATTTTTCACTTTAGCATTGTCTAGCATGATAATGAGAACTTTTCTATGAACATCCCGTAAGACAATTGATGTAGAACATCCTAGCTAATAGTTTTCTTTAGGACTAACTTATCGTAGTTTGTTACAAGTTTGTTACTACTAGCTTCTAGAATGTTCTTATTAGCCTTTAAATATGCAAGTATTGTAGTAGAAAGATATTGATTGATGATTCCAACGATCCAACAATTATCTCCTCACATCAACAATAGTTTCATTCACGGTATCAACAACAACACTTGCGCTTAGGGATGGATCAAAGTCAATCTATTTTTTAGTCTCCATCAGTATCAATATAAGATCTTGTGATGCAACTTTATCAAAACCTTTCAATGCCTTCTTCTTCTTCTCTCTCTCTCTCTCTCTCTTCATCCTTATTTTATTGTTCTGCTGCAACAGTATCACCAACAATCGTGTTAGATGAGTCATTACTTGATTTACTAGTTTGATTTGGGACATTATCATCATCATAAGGGAGATCTGAAGCTGGCAAAAGACATCATTAATGTTAGTGATACAGGAGAGGTGGGGGAATTGCATGAGAGGAGTATTATTGATGGAATGATAAGTTGAAATAAGAAGGTTTATGTGCAGTAAACCACAAGAAAACATATGCTTTCCTAAAAATTATAGACTTACAGTTTTGATTGAAAAAATTCTACAAACCTAAATATTCTCATATATTAATGTATGTTGCCATAATACAAAACTATCTTCAGAAATCAGGATTCAAGCTAACTTAGATAATCAGCTTATGACCAAAGAAGCTATTAAGAAAATCATCATGAAAAAAAGTAGAATATCAATGTAGAATCAAAGAAGACCAACTCTCATTGATTCAGTTTCATTTCGTTCAAGGATATATCATAGTTCAACTAACCGCCAAGAATTTTCTTAAGCAGCACCCACGAATTAATTTCTTACTAAGTAGAAGTAGGATTTTTTAAATCTTCTTTTATCTCAGTCATAGTATTCATTTCTTGAAAAGAAAATCGTTGTTTCTTCTACCCTCTGAATCTTAACAATTATGATGCAAATAGAGCCTAATATATTCTGAATGACAGCTCTGATAGGAAATACTTGAGTTCGCAAGTAACCCTAAGGGTAATAGTTGAGTTTACAAGCAAACCTATCACCAATTGGTGGAAAACAGCGGGAATAATGCAAAATATGGGTGAAATCAGCCCCAAAAAGATAGATTGCAGTAAGAAAATCAAAGTCAAACAATCACGAAAACAAGATACAAGAGATCCTCAATTCGAGAGGAGGATCGTCTCTCCCAAATCTCTAGACAAGATAATCTAGAGCCCAAGTCGCCAAAGAACCCTAATATAACACAAATCAAGCATACCTAACCCTAAACATCTCATGCTACTTATTACATAAATTTTCCTAATCAAATTCCCCCCCCAAGCTCTAGCCGTCCCCTCTTCAAATTTGAACTTAATTGAAGTAATGGGACAAGTGGGCGGCATCATTAGGGGAGGCGGGACTAGCCTGCCTCCTGTATACTTGAACCGGTTCCTCCGGTGCCGGCCTATCAAGCTCTTCATCTAAATAAGTATAAGTTAATACGTTAATGTCATTGCTAATATATTAAGAGCTTAATTTTTATTTTATTTTTTATGTAAGATTATTTTGCACTATTATATACATCTAATTTTTTTTTTTTATAATTGCAAAAGAGCCTCTTGTTTAATGTACTGTCAAGTTAGTTGTTCTGGTTGGCAAGATACAAATGCTACAGAGAATAAAACTTTCAATTTCATTGACAGCATATTCTTCTTTCCGGTATAAGCAGATATGATTTGTGTTCTATTTTTTTCTGCTTAATTTTCTGGAAACTTATACTTAGATCCTGTAAGGAGCTTATGGCAATAAGTGTTTGGCATCATGTTAGCGACCACAATTATTTTGCTTCAAATCAAACATTTACGTCCACTCGTTGGTCGAGTTAGAAGTGATTTTCATCTCCCTAAGATTGGATAGAATTTTTTAAACTGTATATAATATGAAAGTTTGGACCATAATGTATCTTATAATTATGTAAAATATTAAGACTTCACTAACCATATACTTGCTTCCATCCTTCACGGCAGCTGTACACCATTGCAGGACCTGATTCCTCTGAAGAGATTTCTGATGCAGCAAAAACAACAGATTGGCTAATCAATGGCCTGGTTCACATCCTCCCTAATCAAGTTCAGCCAAATCTCAACAAACTAGCCATTGCCGGTCACAGTCGTGGCGGAAAAGTTGCATTTGCTCTAGCTCTAGGCTATGCCAAGACCTCACTCACCTTTTCGGCTCTAATGGCATTCGACCCGGTCGACGGGATGGACAAAGGAAAGCAGACCAATCCACCCATCCTCACCTACATTCCTCACTCATTTGAGCTAAAAATGGCTGCTTTGGTGATCGGTTCGGGCCTCGGCGGGCTTAAGAAGAATCTTTTCTTTCCTCCTTGTTCTCCCCAGGGAGTGAGCCACCAGGATTTCTTTGATGAATGCAAATCTCCTGCTTGCCACCTTGTGGCCAAGGATTATGGACACTTGGACATATTGGATGATGAGACCAAGGGGATTAGAGGAAAAGCTACTTATTGCTTGTGTGCGCATGGCAAGGCAAGGGAGCCTATGAGGAGTTTTGTGGGTGGAGCCTTGGTGGCATTTATGAGAGCTTATTTGGAGGGTGATATGGATGATTTGTGGAGCCTATGGGACAATCCAGAGCTGGCAATACCTGTTGCGGTATCAATAGCTTGTTTTCAGGACTGAAGATTTGTGAGAGCTGCATGTATATATATAAATAAAAATATGTTGGATGATTTGATGCTTGTTATAAATATTTGAGGTTTAGGGTTCTAAGTTCCACTTGTAGTTCTTAATTATATAAATAAACATATAAGGATGCATGGCTTTGATTATTATGAAATTAATAGGATATTACAAGTTCACAGATTTGTCACTGCTGCTGCATTTGATCTTATGCTGTAGCTTTTGGTATTTTTTTTTCATGCGTTAGACTTGAAGTTGCTATACCTTAACTGAGTTGTTATACATGATATATATACATATAGAGCTGTCAAAATTGGGTCACGGGTCAGGTTCGAGTCCAACCCGAAAATGACCCGGCAATATTCGACCTGACCTGTTTTTGCAAACGGGTCGGTTTTTTGGACTCGAACCTGACCCGTTTTTGCAAACATATCAGTTTTAAACTAGAACCCGACTTGCTTCAGGTCCGGCTCAACCTGAACCCAACCCGCTTCGGGTATAGTTTACTATTTTTTTATTTAATTCAATTTATTTAAATCTAAGTTGAATTAAGGTAAGATTTACTTCAATCAATTTAAAATAAACCAAGCTTTATTCATGTTGGGCAATATGGTCTATTATTTTTTGGAAATCACATTTGCTTATTTCGTAACAATCTTTTAAAATCCTCTTAAATCAATTAAAAATAGGTCAAATCAGATTGATTTTGGATTTTTGGGTGAACACGAACCCGATCCAGTTTTACAAACAAGTCGAAATCTCTAACCCGAACCCGACCCGACATTTTTTGGTCGGGTTTTCAGGTCGCGTCAAATATTGATGTATTTCAAAGCCTTTGAATTTTTGTTGAGATTAATGATATATATAATATTTTGAATTTTACTAATCTCTATGCAAATGCAAGATTTTTTAAATCTATTCTAATACAAAAAGCATTAGAATATCCTGATATAATTATTTTCTTCTCGCTACTCTAATCGATATTTTCTCTTTCAAAGTGCATATATAGAAGAAGATAATTTTGGGGAAGAATAGTTTAGCTTGGTTAGTCATTTTGTGTAATATTTATAGACATTGAATAATGTAAGAAATGAAGGTGTATTAACACCAATAATAATAAATAAATTAATATGGAGACTAAAATTAAGAAAATACAAAAGATAAATTGTTTATGTATTCCTCAAGTATGCTCCTTCAAGTTGGAGTCCCTTCACAGGACACTAATCTTGACATGAAGTCAATCAAGGAGCCAGTGAGAGATAGGCTTGGTGATTGTGTCAATAAGTTAGTCATTAGAGGAAAGATGAGAGACATGAATATAAATTTTGAACCTTTTCTTATACAAAATGAAAGTCAATAACAATTTGCTTCATTCATGAGAGAAATATCGGATCGACATAAAAGTAGGTAGCCCTATCATATCACAGTAAACTTTGGTTGCTAGTGACAAAGGAATTTTGAGCTCATGAAGTAGAGATTATAACCAAGTAAGTTTAGCTGTGATAGAGGCAATGTCACGGTATTCAACTTCTGTGGACGAACAAGCAATAATGTATTTTTTCGTAGAGATCTAAGAGATATGATTTTGAAAAAAAAAAAAACTAGTGAAGGTTCGATCATCAACATTGTATGCCTAGCCAGCATTAGAGAGGCTATCTAATGACAATTGGGAAAGTTTGTTGACAGAAAATGCAATATATTGATTTGTTAGAGAAAGGTACTAGAGGCTACCAACTATGGAGCGATATTCAATGGAGTCAGTGATGGTGATTCCATCAAGAGTAGTGGGTACATGATTTGGAGATATACAGGTGGTGACCATATTAGTTTATTCTAAGGTACCATCTATGTATTATTGTTAAGGTAGAAAGAGGTATTGAGTGGAGTTGATAACCTTAACACCAACAAAATATGAGAAGTCTCTAGTATCTTATAAAGAATTTTGTAGTGCCTAATTGATGACTTAATTTGAAGCACTCATTTGTAGACAATAAGATTCAAAACATGCTAAGAAGGACAAGGGTAAAGGTTTTGTTTCAGATGAGTGCATTGTATTTTTTGGACATAACAAAACTCTGTTCATGATTCTTGATAACGAGGAGATAGTGGTTGGTTTAGTGACAGGAGATGATGGGAAACAAACAATGAGGATAAGCTTATTGAGAGGTTTGTGTTTGCTATTTCTTTTGGTCTAATTTGCATTTGGTGGTTATTCCTTAAGAGAGAATGATGCTGTTGAGAAGATGGAGTGTTATTCATGGATATAATCTCTTGAAGGTGACTAGAGATGGTAGAGGCATGAATACCGTCATGACTAGCAGTATGAGGTATATTGGTTATAGGTGATATATGAGATTAAAGAGGGATATTTTTATTCAAACTTGAAAGGAGTGAAATATCATAAATAGTGGGATCCGCATTTAGCATAACTAGATGAGGACAAAATTTAATTATTCGGACGAATTATTGGTATGACAACTAGCAGTATTTGAGGAGGTGGCATTATTGTGAGGAGTATTTGGTGGTGAAGACCAATTCCTTAAAGAAGAGGGAGACGTTTTATTGACCAAATGGGTTGGGTTGGTTATGTGAAGTAGGTCTCACCCACTTAAAGTAGGAGATTGAGTGTGAGTGAGGGTAGCTAGATATGGAGAGGATTAAAGTTGGCATTTATAGTGTGGTCCACAACTAGCTAAAAAATGGTAGGCAAGATTTAGGGTTTATAAATGATAGAAATTGATTTTTTTTCATTTAGTGGAGAAGTTAATGAGTAGGGCTTGACTATTTGAATTAGAGAAGGATAAATTATCAACTTTTTATGGCATGCCAAATTTGGAGAGTGGAGAAAGTAGCAATTTAGCTTTTATCTTATGGAGGAGATAATCCACATGTGGCCATACTAAAGATATATATTAATTTTTTTAAACAAAATAAACTTTTAATACTTATGTATACCATTTAAGCTCAATATATACACGATTGTCATATAAAGTAGATCTAGGAGACGTCCTTACTTTATCATTTAATTTGTGGTTTATATCTAAGTGCTACATAGTGTCTACATTCATATTCATCCATATCATCTTCGTAATAAAACATATAATCATTATTTTAATAATTTATTTTTTATGCATTTAATTCTAATTTGGATGCCATTTTTTTTCTTGTAAAAATCAATATGCACTAAACTATCCATTAAATTAGTCTCTTTTAGTTATCTAATAAATTGATTGAAATTTAATTTTGATACTCAGCATCCTCATTGCAACTAATAATTCAGAATGATTAATGTGATTATACTATATTGGTTACTAAGACAAATTTAGCTAAAATAATCATGCATTGCAATTATTAAACAACCATGGTAATCTTCATTTGTGCATCAATAATCATTGATTATTTTTTATATGAGCATATATATACATTCACATCAATAACTAAAATAAATGCATACTTTCATCTGCACATACATTCATTAAAATGCACACACACATACATACATAAATTTAAAAGCTCACTTATATACAAACATACAGACATAATAACAAATTTAATCATTTGGGTATTATTATATAAACTATTTTAATTTGAAATATTTATTTGGTTTACGTGCATGTATATGATAAATTAATGTGTTTTATTCTTTATAATTGATTATAATAAGTCACAAAAAATCAATTTCATTGGACATGAATCTCGATACAATTTGAAATATGAAGCTTTTAAAATTCAACTCCAAACTATCCGAACTCCGATATCAGCAAGCCTATATCCAGACTAATTGGCATGAGATGAACCTAACAACATTCAAAGTGATATGATTTGAGTTCAAGCACATAAAGGCTAAAGCATAGTTGAAATCTTTGTGATATTAATTGAAGAATAAAATGATATCTAAAATTTTCATGTTTATAGTTGAATTGAGCACCTTGATGAGACAAATCCAATAAGCTTAAGATTGCTTAATTTTGATATTATTAAGGCATGTAAATGCTAAAAGAAATATCTATAATTAAGTCAATCAATATGAGTCATCAAATAGGGTGTTTCGAATTTTGGCAATATTTATAGGACATGACTCTCTCAAAATCTACAAATAGCCCCTCTCACTCTACATAAAATGGATCATTGGCTTTGGATTTAAGAGATCTTAGAAATTTAAAGAATCTCAGAGCTCCATCGTCATATCACTGCCATCAAACCATCACTTGATAGTTGTAGTTAGACTATTATCATTGGATCACTACCACTAGACTACCACCTTACAGTTGTCGCTAAACTAGGGGGCCGAAAAATGGCTCAACTAGAAAAATTCTGGTTCGGGTTCCCGTTTAATAAACAGTTTAGGTTTAGGTTGCGCATTTGACCCATTTATTAAATATGTCGAGTTCGGGTTGACCTGCCAACCCGAGTTCGACATGAAATTAACTTATTTAATTTTTTTATTATTTCTTTTATCTTTTAATTTACATAACCAGAATTATCTAATTTCTTTTATCAATCTAAATAACATCATAAATAAAACTATCGATCAAAACATCAATATATACACATGTAATCATTTCTCAAAAGTTATATATAATATTTAGAATCTATACAATCATACCATAAATACTTTGTCCTGATTTTAAAAAATAGATAAAAAAAAAAACTGAGGAATCCTTATCACACACATAATCATTTGTCCTATCCTAAAAATATTTAATAACATATTATGAGCTAAAAAGCCCAGTAGGTCACTAAAATTCTACAACTGAATTCAAAGCATGGTAAATGAGTAATATGCTTGTAAGGGATCAAATCATAACAATAGTATTCATATGATTATTGAATCAATACAAAAATAGTAAAACTCACATGTAGTAGCATTAAAATTTATAAATAGTAAAATAGTATAATACTATAAAATAATCGTCATATCAATATTATTAATCAGTAGAAAAATCGTATACAAAGATAAAATCAAATCATTGATAAAGACCAAAAAATTAAATCCATATAATAAAATTATATAGGAGTGTACACA